GCTCGCGCGCGCCGCGCGCGCGTACTCCGCGCGCACCGTCGAGTTGTTGACGATGGACCGCCGCAGGGCCTCGGCCTCGGAGAGCCGCGGCGCCTTCGATTCCCACAGCGCGAGGCTCCGCGCCGCGGCCGCCTCGTGCGCCGCGCGGCGCGCCGCGGGGTCGACGAGCTCGTCGAAGAGCCGCCGCAGGAGCTGCGCCCGGGCCTCGAGGCGCGGGTCCCGCGGGGGCGCGCGCTTCGCGGGCCGCGCGCGGCGCCGCGCGGGTTTCGTCGCCGGCGCGGCGGCGCGCGCGGCAGCGACGAGGCCCTCGCGGGTGTGGTCCGCGCGGATCTGCGCGACGAGCTTCGCGCGGCCGGCCTCGCGGATCGGGTCGCCGACGATGGGCGTCGCCTTGCGCCGGTCGTAGCCCTCGACGTCGCCATCGCAGTAGAGCATCTCGTCGATGCCGCCGGGCGCGCCGAACGTGTTCTGCGCCTAAAGTTCGCCGAGTCTTAGTTCGGACGAGCATATTCCCCCTCATAAAAAAGCGGGGCGCGGGCGCGCGCGTTGATGAGGGACATCATCTGCAGCGCGCGGCCGTAGTTCTTCTCCGAGAAGGTACGGCTCGCCGGGTCTTCCATCCACTTCTGGCCGTAGGTGTCGTCGAGGACCTCCTCTTCTTTGTCGGCGTAGAGGTGCTCGCCGCCGGTTTCGTCGTCGTGGTAGGCGTCGACAGGCATTTTTATCGGTCTTGTCGTCGAGGGCGCGGAGTCGCGTTTTCGACGAGGGGTTTGTGGCGTTGAGCGATCATCACCCGACTCGAGGAGGTCTGGAGGCTCGCCCGGGTGACGACACCCGACTAGCTCCCCCAAAAAAATAACACGGACGCCGATCATCTCCCTAGCGGCGCCCGAGCAGGCCCAGGGGCGTGTGCCACATGTCCGGGTCGTAGTCGTGGGTCCTCGGGTCGCGCTCGGGCATGCGGACGATCGCGGCGACGAGCTCCGGCTCGCCCCGGGGCGACTTGGCGAACTCGAAGGTGAAGTTGCGCGCGTCCATGGCCGCGGCGAGGCGGCACTCGAAGGGCTCGTTCGTGCAGACGTCGCCGTTCCAGAGGTTCGGGTCGCCCGAGAGCCTCGGGAACCGCGGCGGCGGGCTTCGATCGGGCCCCGCGCAGCCGGCCCAGACTGTGGCGCAGGGCACGTCCGCGAGCTTCCACTGGGCCGTCCAGACGGCGAAGACGGCCGGCGGGCCGTAGACGCACCAGTCGTAGTCGCGGTTGCTGAACGCGGCGCGGCGGCCGAAGCTGCCCGGCACCGCCAGGAGCGTCGCGGCGCCGGCGGGGGGCAACTCCGCGCCGCGCGCCGGCGGCACGTAGTACTTGAAGGTCTCCTCCTCCGACCTGTGCCGCTTGTCGTCCTGGTCCAGGGAGATGACGTTCGACCGGCCGGGCCGCGCGTTCAAGAGCGCGTCGAGGCGGAGCCTGGGCAGGAAAAGAGAGCGAAATTTCCAAGGCTTATATCTCAGTCGTTCGTTTTCCACTCGTTTCGGCTAATTTTTGGACGAGCGATCATCTCTCGGAGCGCTCTCGACGCGTGGATGCTTTTTCAGGAACGCGCGCGGAATACTCATGTTGAAGCGAACTTGAATCACTCTTTTCCTGCTCTGGCCGGAGCCAGACCATCGTCGTGTAGTTGAAGGGCGAACCCCAGGCCGCGCCCGGCGGGCCGCCGGCGCCCGCGGAGTCGCCCGCGGCAAACGCCAACGCCGCGACGCGCGCGCGGTCCATGCGCCAGTACTGGTGCGCCTTGTAGAGCTCGTTCTTGTGGCGCTCGTAGTTGTTGTTCAGGTCGCCCTTCTCCTTGATGTCCAACGCCGCGTCGACGGCCATGCGCTCGACCTCGCGCTCGATGCTCGCGTTCGCGCCGAAGTCGAGCCTGCGCGGGGGCGCGCTGCGGCCGCGCGCGCGCCGCGAAAATTCTCTCGCGCGGGCGCCGCGCCACCGCAAGTTCGGCCGCGCGAGCTTTTCGATCGCGGCCGCGAGGCGGCCCGTCGACGTCGTCGCGTTGGCCGCCGCGGCGACGACGGCGGCGCCGTCGGGCCGCGACCGCAGGCCCTTGAAGGCCGCGCGCGGGCACGCGTCGTTCTGCACGTCTCGCAGTCCGCATGTGGACGCGGCGGACGTCTGCACGAAGACGTCGACGGCCGCGCCGCGCGCCTCGAGGGGCAGGACGAGCTCGGCGCGGAGCCGCGGGTGCACAATATCAAAGGTCCGCACGAGGCCCGTCAGGAGCACGGCGACGCGCTCCGTCGCCGGCTTCGACCGCACGGCGGCGCAGCCGCCGTAGCCGCCGGGGCCGCAGGGCGGCGCGCCGAGGCACGCCAGCGGCAGCACCAGGGCCAGCGCCCGGAGGCGCATGCGTCCGAGGCCGCCGAGGCCAGCGGCGCGGTCTTTGGGCAGCGGCCAATGGGCAGGGCTAGGGGGGCAGCGTCAGGCCCATCGCACAAACGAGAGGCAACACGGCCTCAACGAGCAAAGTTGAACCGAGCAGAGAGGGGCGCGAAGCGACGCCAGCTGCGAGCGCGCGGCGGCAGCAGCGGCAGCCAGCCAACCAGCCAGCCAGCCCGCGGCGCTTCGAGGTCTCGAAAGGATGCGACTCGTGCGCGCGCTGGCGCTGCTGGCGGCGGCGTCGGGCTTCCGGCTCGGCGACCTGGGCCTGCGCGTGCGCCGCGCGGGCCTCGACGACCTCGACGAGCTGGCGGACCTCCGCGCGACGGCGAGCCCCTTCGCGATGAGCTACCGGGCCGCCGCGAACCGGGAGGCGAACGACGACGCGGCCGAGGCTCGACGACTCCTCCGCGAGACGTTCTGCCGGGGAATAGCGAGCGGCGCCGCGGCGTGCTACGTCGCGGAGGAATGGGGGCGGCCCGCCATCGTCGGCTACTGCGACGTCACGACGCGACCGGCGCTGGGCCCCGCGCTCGGCGAGCACGCCTACGTGAAGAACCTCCGCGTGCTCCCGGAGCACCGGCGCCGCGGCGTCGGCGAGCGCCTCGTCCGCGCGTGCCTGGGCCACGCGGCCCGCGCCTACGGCACCCTCGACAGCGTCGCCCTCGAGGTCGACGACGACAACGACGCCGCCGCGCGGCTCTACGCGAGGTTGGGGTTCGCCTCGACCGCGAGCCTCGGCGAGCCCGCGGCGCTCTGGAAGTACGGCACGTTCTGCTGGGGCCGCACGCTCATGTACCGGCCCAACGACGGCCCGTAAGTCAGTTTTAGGAGGAGCGCGCGGGTCCGAGCGCGAACGTCCAAGTGAACACACGGGTCCGAGAGCGCGACCTTCCGGGCCGAGTTCCGGCGGCCCGGCTCGTCTTTTTGGGACCCCCTTGAACATCGCTCTATTTGAACTCGTCGTGAAGCGCGTCGGAAACACGCGGCCAAGACTCGGGGTAGTGTACTTCGACGCGATGAAGTGTCTCCTCGTCGCCGCCGTCGCCGCCGCCGCGCTGGCGCGCGCCCTGCCGCGGTCCGGCCAGGTCGCCGTCGGCCCCGCGGCGCCGCTGCGGCGCCTCGCCGACGGCGAGCTGACCTGCGCGGCCAAGGTGCAGCGCAAGGCCGCGGACCTCGTCGACGAGGACGAGGCCTACGGCTGGTGCGAGCTCAAGCGGGACCTGCGGGCCCAGGCGCCCTGGCGCGACGACGCCACGACCTACGTGGCCGCGCTCTACGGGTCCCACCGCTGGACCGCGGCGACGCGCGGCTACGCGACCTTCGTCGGCCTCACGCAGCGGATCGTCTTCGCGGCCGTGTCCGTCGCGGGCAACGTCCGCGTCGTCTACTTCCACTGGGTCACGCCGGCGCACCCCAAGTTCACCCTCGACCCGCTGAACCGCCTCGCGGTCAAGGCCCACGTCGCCGCGGGGTCCGCGAACGTCTTCCTGCCGCTCGTCGCGTTCTTCTCCGGGCCGGCGCGGGGCCGCGCGCTCATGTGGCTCGTCGCGGGCTTCGAGCTCGTCCACTGCGCGACGGCCCTGCGCATGATGCCCAACGTCTTCGGCTGCAAGGTGCTCATGACGCCCGGCTACGCGTGCTGCGTGCTCGTGAAGTTCGGTTTGGCCTTCTACCTCGTCGCGAGCCTCATCGCGGACGACGCGGCCTACAAGGACCAGGCGGAGTGGCTCTGGGCCTACTGGTCCGCGCACAACACCTACGCCTGGGTGCGCATCTGGTACGTCGTCCTCTGCCGGCTCCGCGTGGAAGAAAATCGCTACACGATCGCGATCCTGCTCGCGGGCGCGGTCTGCTGCGGCCAGGCCATCGGCTTCTGGGGCATTTTGGTCATGTTGGGGTGCCTCTTCGCCCACTACGCCTACCTCGACGTCAAGTGCCGGCGCCTCGCGGCGCGCGTCGCCGCGGGCACCGCGGACCCCGCGGCCGCGTACCTCGAGGCGCGCCTGGGGGCCGCGGCCTGGACGGAGTGCGCGCGGACGCCGCCCGTGGGGCCGCCGGGCTCCAAAACCTACGCCCGGGCCGTGGCCTTGGTGGAGAAGTACCTCGTGGACACGTCGACGCCGTCCGCGGCGGACTACGGCGCGGACTGCCAGGGCGGCCTCGTCTTCGACCTCATCGACGCGGACGGCGACGGTGTCCTCGACGCCGACGAGCTCGTCGCCTTCCTCGTGTCCTTCGGGTGCGGCGCCGACGACGTCGCGCGCCTCTTCGCGGGGCTGCCGGAGGCGCAGCGGGACGCGCCGACGATCGCGCACGAGGACTTCGTGGTCTACTTCGCGCCCTTCTGGCGCTTCCTCTTCCCCCTCTACGTCGAGGAGCTCCACCGCCGCTTCCACGGCGCGGGCGGGCGCCACGCCTTCGAGGCGCTCCACGCGGCGACGGCGGGCGCCGGCGGCGGCTGCCCCTTCGCGGCCGCGCTGGCCGAGTCCGGCGCGAAGCAGGGCCTCGCCGCGCTCCGCGGCGCCGCGGCCGCGGCCTGCGACGCCGGCGACGCCGCGTCCAAGCAGCTCGGCCTCGCCACGGGCGCGGACCTCGCGAAGACGCTCAAGGGCGACGGCGAGGCGTCCCAGTGGGCGTCCTTCACGGCCGGGTCCCGCCGCGCGCGCAAGACCGTCCCCGCGGCCGACGACGCGGCCTGAAATGCCCCCGAGCGCGGCGCCGCGCGTCTCGTGCGGCCGCCCCTCCCTCCCCCCTTCCCTTCCCCGAGAGGTTCGGCTTTTTAAGTCCGGCCCCCCTCAGCGCCCCCGGCGGATCGGCGTGGCGCCGCGGCCGCCGCGGCCGCGGCCGCGGCCGCCCTTGCCGCCCTTGCCGCCGTGGTTCGACGCGCGGCGGAGCTCGTCGGACCGCTTCTTGTAGGCCTCCTCCTTGTCCGGGGCCATGACGCGCAGCTCGCACTCCGCGCCGTTGATCTCGCGGCACGCCGCGACGGCGGCGGCCGCGCCGGCCGCGCCGTCGAAGCGCGCGACGGCCGTGCCGTCGTCGTCGTTGACGTCGACGTACTTGACGACGGCGTAGGCGCCCAGCGCCTCGCGGAGCTCCGCGAAGCCCACGCCCTGGCCCTCGAGGCCCGAGATCTCGACGCACGAGCCCGGCTCCGCCGGGCCGTCGCGGCTCGGGCGGTCGCCGGCGGCCCGGTCGCTCGCGCCGCAGGCGCGGCGCGCGAAGGAGAGGACGCCGCGGCTGTCGCCGTTCTCCGGGAAGAGCTCGTCGACGCACTTGCGCGCGCTGAAGCCCGCGCGCGACCCGTCGGCCCGCTCGACGTAGAAGGACTTCGTGTCCGGGTACTCGCTGTTCGTCGCGTAGCCGATGGCCGTCGCGCCGGTCGCCATCTTCTCGTTCGCCGCCGGGTGGCAACTCAGCAGCGCGAAGAGGAAGAAGGCGTCGCCGCCGGACGCGACGCTGTCGTCGATGCGCGCCTGGACGTCCTGCACGTGGCGCCAGAGCTCGTCGCGGCCGCCGAAGACGGCGCCGGCGACGCAGACCTTGCCGCCGCCCGTGTGGGCTGGGGCCGCGGTGTCCTCCGTCTCCATCGGCGCGGACGTCTCCGCCATGGCTGCCATCGTGTCGCCAGATTTTGTCGAGTGGCAAATGCCGGCTCCTTGACGTCGAGCGTCGAGATCGTCGAGCACTCCGCGGCCGCGCGCGCCGACCTCTTCACGCGCCGGCGCCAGGCCTCGTCACGGTTGCAAGAGCCGCTGGCACCTCCTCATGGCGATGGCGCAGGCCGCGGACCTGCTGCGCTGCATGGGCCTCGCGTCGCTCCTGCTCTGCGTCGCCATCGCCGCGGCCTGGGCCGTCTTCGGCGCGCGCATCACGGAGCTCATGGCGCCCGTGCGCGCGGTCGGCCGGCGGCGGACGCTCATGCCGCTGAGCCTCGGCGACGCCGCGCTGCGGCCCGACGCCGCGACGCGGACGTGGCACGCGGCGCCGCGCGCGCCGGACCGCGCGCCGCTCGACGCCGCGCTCTTCGCCGCGCCGGACCCGAAATCCCCCCCGTCGCCGAAGAAGACGCGCTAATCCTTAAAGTGGGTCCGCACGGCGGGCGCGACGAAGCAGGGCGCGCGCTCGTCGTCGGACTGGGCGTCGAAGGCCGCGGCGTAGAAGAGGGACTGCGCCTTGTGGTTCACGAGCCACCCGTCCATCGCGTCCGCTGTGAGCTTCGGGAAGTTCTTCCCCGGCGCGCGCGACACGGCGTCGAGGGACTGGACGCAGCGGAAGCACTGGAGCTTCGGGCGCGTCGCGCTCTCCGCGGCCACGTGGAAGAGCGGCGTCTCGCCGTTGGCCAGACCCCGGTCGACGACCTCGTCGACGTGCCAGCCCGGGTTCGCGGCGTCGTAGGCTTTGAAGCGCGGCCGGTGCCACTTGTGCGCGAGCTTGAGCGCCGCGTGCCACAGGGGGATGCAACTCCAGTGGGACCCGCCCGCGCCGCACGCGACGCGCTTCGTGCACTCGTAGCCGTAGGGCTCGCGGACGTCGGCCCGCGACCCGTTCATGTGCCAGAGCTGGAGCCAGCTCAGCGCCGCCTGGTCGTGGGGGTGGCACTGGGCGAGCCCCGCGCGGCTCACGGCGAGCCAGCGCGCGAGCAGCGCGCGGCCCGCGGCGCCGCCCCGGAGCAACACCACGCCCGTGTTGAAGCCGCGGAAGTTCGCGAGGATCGCGACCTTCGACTTCGGCGCGTCGTCCGCGTAGGCCTCCAACGGCAGATCGAAGAACTTCGGGTTCATCCAGGCGTCGGCGTCGACCCAGGCGAGCCAGGCCGCGGCGGGGTGCGCGAGCGCGGCGTCGCGCAGCATCAGCGCCTTCGAGAACTCCCAGGGCAGCCGGCCCGCGCCGGACCTGTGTGGAATTCGACCACTGGTTTGGGTGGTCCTGACCAAACTTCAGAATTCCTCTAGCTCGGTCAAATCGAAGTCGATTCGGCTGATTTTTGGACGAATCGATTGCTCTCGTGGAGTTCTCGAAGCACAGTCGAAGAGATTGCGTCGAAACTGTCGCATACGCTCACATTGAAGTCGGATTGAAGATTTGAATTCCACACAGCGCCGGACGCCGCGCCGTAGCGCAGCATGGACGCGAAGGTGTCGGCCACGTAGAAGGCGAAGGCGTAGCCGTGGCGGGCCGCGTAGGCCCGCTTGTTCAGCGCCAGATCCACGTCGGAGACGCCGTTGGGGCCCGCGCGCGCGTTCACGCCGGAGACGACGACCACCCGGGGGGCCGAGGGTCCCGTCGTTCCGCCGGCGCCGCCGCGGCCTCCGGCGACGCAGCCGATCCGGCCCGCGGCGGCGGTCCCGAGCACGGCGTCGGCGAGCGCCGCGACGGCGCCGCGCCGCGCGCCGGGCTCGCCGCGGTCGCCGCCGCCGCCGAGCCTGAGCCGCTCGCCCGCGGCGTCCGCGCCCGCCTGGGCAGGACAAGAGAGATTCAACGTCGCTTTAACGTGAGTGTTCCGCGCGCGCGCGTTCCAGGAAAAGCATTCACGCTTCGAGGCCGTTCCGAGAGATGATCGCTCGTCCAAAAGTCAGCCAAAACGAGTGGAAAACGGCCGAGAAAGGAGCCTTTGAAGTTGGGAATTTCGCTCTCTTTTGCTGCCCTGGCGCCCGCGCAGCCCTCGGCGCAGGCGTCGCAGCGCAGCGCCGGCGCCAGGAAGGCGTGCTCGATGTTCGCGACGCCGCGGAGCGCGTCGACGAGGGCGTCGGGGGGCGCCTCGCCGTAGGACAGGGGCGCCTCGGTCGCGTGGCGCCGGAGCTCCGCCGCGAGCGCGTCCGCGGCCCGCCGCAGCGTCAGGTCGCGCGCTTTGCGATATTGCAGCGCGAGCCCCGGCGACGACTGCGCGGGCCAGGCGAGCGCGACGACGCCTAAATCCGCGTTCGTCGCGTGGCCGAGCGGCGGCTCGACGCTCGCGGCCGCGACGACGCCCCCGGCGCCGTCGGGCAGCGGCGCGCCGCGCTCGCCGAAGAGCCGGCCGAGCCCGCCGCAGGGCGTCCAGACGTCGAGGTCCAGCGACGCGACGCGGCCGCCGTCGGGGGACGGCGCGCCTAGCCACCGCTCCATCTCCGCGACTAACGCTCCGACGACGCGCTCCGTGCGGCCCAGGCCCTCGAAGCGCGGCTCGAAGCGCAGCGTGGCGTTGAGCCGCGCGCCGTGGGACACCACGCGGTCCACCCAGGGCGCGCCGGCCTCCGCCGCCTCCGCCGTGACGACGACGAGGCGCCCGCCGCGGAGCAGTGCGCCCTTGCCCAGCTGGCGCACGACCTCGGCGCAGGACCGCGCCGCCGACGGCGACGCCACGTGGAGCACGAGCGACGTCGACGCGCCGGCGACGCGGCAACCGGCGACGACGAGCCAGAGCAGCCCGGGTCGCCGGCGCAGGCCACCCATCATCATAGGTGCAACAAAGGTTCATCGTCGGCCAATTGGTGAATGCTGCCCGATGGTGATGGCTCGTAGATAGCCGCGGGCGCGACCCGCGGGCCTGCGTTCCGATGTGCGACGACGCGGAGCCGGGCCTGTGCGCCGTCGGCAGCTTTTTGCGCGGCCCGGCGCCTGCTCCGGCGACGCGCGCGCTGCTGTGCCACGAGGGTGGACGTCCACGCCGCCTCGCCCCGCAGGTTCGGCACGCTCCTGGGCACGGGCGCGGGCTGGTTCGCGAGCGTCGTCGCCGACGGCGCGCGCATGGTCGGCGTCCTCGGCGGCGCGGCCTTCGGCGTGCTGGCCGCGGCGTTCCCCAACGGGCCGCCGGCGTGCGTGGCCGCCGCGGTGCTCCTCGCGGGCGCGCCCGTCGTCGCCGGCCTCTCCGCGGTGCCCTACATCAGCTTCGACGACCCGGCCCTGCTCCTCGGCGCCGCCGCGATGACGGCCGGCGCGGGCACGCTCGCGCTCCTCGGGTCCGGCGCGCTCGCGGCCCACAGGCGCCGGCGCCAGATGGAGCTCGACCTCGAGAAGTCGCTCTCCGTGTAAGTCTCGCGATAGTGGCCGGGGGGGGGCGGGCGGCGCGGAACGGGGGTCGAGGGCGCCGACGAGCATCGACAGGAAAAACTTCAAGCCGACGGCACTCTGTCCAAAACATTCAAAGCTTCGAAAGCATTCTCAATCCTCGTCGCCGCCTCCAGGCACAATCTGGGCGGCAGCCCCCTCGCTTCGACAAACCCCCGGCAGCCCCATGGCGCGCGCCCTCGCCCTCGCCGCGTGCCTCTCCCTCGCGCTCGCCGAGGACTACGACACCTACACCGGCGCCGGCAAGTGCGGCTCCCTCAGCTACTCCGGCGAGGCCTACGACGAGCTCTTCACGACGACGGTCACGGGCTCCTCCGCGGACGAGTGCGGCTCGCTCTGCGAGGCCAGCCTCGGCGACAGCCTCGTCTCCGTGTCCGCGTCCTACGACCCGTCCAGCTCCGTCGACTCCGTCGACTGCACGTGCCACTCGCTGTGCGAGTGCCTCACGGACCTCGACGACCCCTACCTCATCGCCCTCTACTACCCGGGCTACGCGCTGCCGTCGGCCTGCGACGCGACGCCGACGGCGGCGCCCGCGGCCTCCACGGACGGCTCCGTCGACACCTACGAGACCTACGACCTCACGAGTTACGTCGACACGCTGGCGCCGGCGTCGTCGACGCTCGCGCCGACGACGACGCCGATCACGGAGCTCTGCGCGGACGGCGACGAGTACGTCTGGTCGGAGGTCGCCGTCGCCGGCGCCACCTATACGGTGGTGACGATCCCGAGCGGCCTCGGCAAGGTGTCGCTCAAGGTCAGCGGCTACGCCGTCGAGGACGTGGCCGTCGTCAAGGCCAACGAGACGCTGCCCACCTACACGGCGAAGAACGCGACGGACAGCGCCTGCGACGCGAGCCGCCCCTACTGGGCCCACTTCGACGAGCACTGCTCCGCGTGCTCGGGCCGCGCGGCGCTCAAGGTCGAGACGGTCTTCTTCATCGAGGGCCTCCTCGCGGCGGACTACGGCGACGACGTCGCGGCCTTCTTCAAGGCGTCGGTCGACGACGTCCTCGCGGCGTCCTACGGCGCCGTCGTCGAGAGCGAGGCGCTCACGCTGTCCGAGTTCGGCGAAAAGTACGCGGACGAGCTCAACATCTCGCAGTACCTCGAGGACGACATCTACTCCTACGCGGGCCGCAAGCTCGACGGCGCCGCGGGCCGCAAGCTCGAGGACGCCGTCTGCCAGGCCTACTCGGCCTGCGGCTGCTCCGGCGGCGAGTTCTGCAACTTCGACTACGGCACCTACGGCGGGTGCGAGCCCTGCGCGTCGCACTCCGCGGTCGACTCCTGCTACTCCGACGGCCTGCCCGACGCGGGCGCGGCGGACTGCGCGGCGTGCTGCTTCGACGGCACGAGCGACTACGACTACGAGGCAGTCACCGGCAGCGCGAGCCCTGTCGACGGCATCAAAGTCACGAACTACAGTACGCCCGCGCTCGCCGACCTCGACGGCGACGGCGACCTCGACCTCGTCGTGGGCGATACGGACGGCGCGCTCTTCTACTACGAGAACGTCGGGTCCGCGGCGTCGCCGACCTACTCGGCCGTCACCGGCAGCGCGAGCCCCTTCTACGGCATCGACGTCGGTGACGACAGCACGCCCGCGCTCGCCGACCTCGACGGCGACGGCGACCTCGACCTCGTCGTGGGCGAAGAGTACGGCGCCCTCTACTACTTCGAGAACGTCGGGTCCGCGACGTCGCCGAGCTTCGAGGAAGTCACCGGCGACGCGAGCCCCTTCTACGGCAACGACGTCGGTTGGAGCAGCTGGCCCGCGATCGGCGACATCGACGGCGACGGCGACCTCGACCTTGTCGTGGGCGAATGGGGAGGCACCCTCTTCTTCCTCGAGAACGTCGGGTCCGCGGCGTCGCCGAGCTACGCGGACTTCGCCTACGGCGACGCGAGCCCCTTCTACGGCATCAACGTCGGTAACTACAGCGCACCCGCGCTCGGCGACATCGATGGCGACGGCGACCTCGACCTCGTCCTGGGCCAAGGGTCCGGCGTCCTCGACTACTACGAGAACGCCGGGTCTGCGACGTCGGCGAGCTACGCGACCGTCACCGGCAGCGCGAGCCCCTTCGACGGCATCGACGTCGGTGGCTACGGTACCGACAGCACGCCCGGGCTCGGCGACCTCGACGGCGACGGCGACCTCGACCTCGTCGTGGGCGAATGGAACGGCGAGCTCAACTACTACGAGGCCGTCGAGTCCACGAGCGACTACGACTACGACTACGACGACGACGACGGCGGCTTCTGGGCCTGTTTGGTCGGGGACTACGGCCACGAGCACCGCCGCGCGAGCGACTTCTCGTCGGAATACTCCTACAGCGACCACGACGACGGCGGCTCCTGCCTCGGGTCCGCGGTGCTCTTCAACGTGACGTTCGACGACGCGTCGCTCTCCGCGGCCGCGGCCGTGAACCTGACGCTGGCCGCGCTGGTGCCCGCGGTCGCCGGCGGCGCCATGACCGCGAGCTTCCAGGCCCACGGCGAGGGCCTGGACCAGGTCGCGAACTACTCGCTCGCCGTGAACGAGACGCTCGTCGCGGGGCAGGACAAGAGAGCGAAATTCCCAACTTCAAAGGCTCCTATCTCGGTCGTTTTCCACTCGTTTCGGCTGACTTTTGGACGATTGATCATCTCTCGGAACGGTCTCGAAGCGTGGATGCTTTTTCCGGAACGCGCGCGCGCGGAACACTCACGTTGAAGCGACGTTGAATCTCTCTTGTCCTGCCCAGGCTCGTCGCCATGGAGCTCCTCACGACGGCCTACGACCCGGACGCGACCGAGGCGCCCGCCGCGGCCTACTACTCGGAGTACGACCAGTACTACGACCTCTACGCGACGCCGAGCGCCGCGCCCGCCGGCGCCTACGACCAGGGCCTCTACGCGACGCCGACCGCCGCGCCCGCCGCCGGCCGCCGGCGCCTCGACGACATCAGCTACGACAGCTACACCTACGACAGCTACACCTACGACATCAGCTACGACAGCTACACCTACGACAGCTACACCTACGACATCAGCTACGACAGCTACACCGGCGAGGGCTACTGCTCCGACCTCAGCGAGGTCGGGCTCGAACATTCGGTCTACCTCTACTACTCGGCGGAGGAGTGCGGCTCGGCCTGCATCAACTACGGCTCCACCTACGGCATCGACTTCGTGGGCGTCCGCTACGACGACTACGGGGGGCTGGGCTACTACTGCGCGTGCCAGACTACCTGCGACTGCAAGGTTGGCCAGCTGAGTACGACCTCCGTCGCGCTCGTCCCCGCGGGCACGGACTGGGCGGGCATTGAATCGTGCTACGACATGTACACTGGCTACGGCTGCGACGGCCAGTCCTACGTCGACGGCGCCGACTACGCGGACCAAGTCGGCGGCTCCATCACCGACTACGAGGTGTGCACCTGGGCGTGCTATCTCGCCATGGTCGACACCTATGGGGACTCTTCGTACATGGTCATGGCCGTCTTTGACGGGGCGAACTGCCTCTGCTACTACGAGTGCGACTGCGCGACCGTGGACTCGTCGCTGACGTCGATCGCCTGGGCGGGCACGTCCGTCGACTCGCAGAACTGCGCCGGCCTCGCCGACTACGTCTCCGGCCTGGACGAGGACGACTGCGGCTCGCTCTGCGAGTCGAGTCTGGGGTCGAGCCTCGTGTCCGTGTCCGCGACCTACGACCCGACGTCCGACTACGTCGAGTGCACGTGCCACCCGTCCTGCTCGTGCCTCACGGACCTCGACGACGCCTACGCGATCGCGCTCTACTACCCCGACTACGTCCTGCCCGACGCCTGCGGCGATCCGACGGCGGCGCCCGCGGCCGCGCCGACGACGGCGGCCTACGACGCCTACTACGGCGAGGGCAAGTGCGCGCTCACGGGCCAGGAGACGACGGTCTCCGGCCTGGACGAGGACGACTGCGGCTCGCTCTGCGAGTCGAGTCTGGGGTCGAGCCTCGTGTCCGTGTCCGCGACCTACGACCCGACGTCCGACTACGTCGAGTGCACGTGCCACCCGTCCTGCTCGTGCCTCACGGACCTCGACGACGCCTACGCGATCGCGCTCTACTACCCCGACTACGTCCTGCCCGACGCCTGCGGCGATCCGACGGCGGCGCCCGCGGCCGCGCCGACGCCCGCGCCGACGATCGCGACGACGCCCGCGCCGACGCCGCGGCCCAGCCCGTACCCGACCTACAACTTCTTCTACCCGACGAGCTTGAACTACGACACCTACCAAGGCCAGGGCAAGTGCGCGCTCACGGGCCAGGAGACGACGGTCTCGGGCTACAGCACCGACGACTGCGGCTCGCTCTGCGAGGACAGCCTGGGGTCGAGCCTCGTGTCCGTGTCCGCGACCTACGACCCGACGTCCGACTACGTCGAGTGCACGTGCCACCCGTCCTGCTCGTGCCTCACGGACCTCGACGACGCCTACGCGATCGCGCTCTACTACCCCGACTACGTCCTGCCCGACGCCTGCGGCGATCCGACGGCGGCGCCCGCGGCCGCGCCGACGACGGCGGCCTACGACGCCTACTACGGCGAGGGCAAGTGCGCGCTCACGGGCCAGGAGACGACGGTCTCCGGCCTGGACGAGGACGACTGCGGCTCGCTCTGCGAGTCGAGTCTGGGGTCGAGCCTCGTGTCCGTGTCCGCGACCTACGACCCGACGTCCGACTACGTCGAGTGCACGTGCCACCCGTCCTGCTCGTGCCTCACGGACCTCGACGACGCCTACGCGATCGCGCTCTACTACCCCGACTACGTCCTGCCCGACGCCTGCGGCGATCCGACGGCGGCGCCCGCGGCCGCGCCGACGCCCGCGCCGACGATCGCGACGACGCCCGCGCCGACGCCGCGGCCCAGCCCGTACCCGACCTACAACTTCTTCTACCCGACGAGCTTGAACTACGACACCTACCAAGGCCAGGGCAAGTGCGCGCTCACGGGCCAGGAGACGACGGTCTCGGGCTACAGCACCGACGACTGCGGCTCGCTCTGCGAGTCGAGTCTGGGGTCGAGCCTCGTGTCCGTGTCCGCGACCGTCGACCCGTCGTCGTCGTCCGACTACGTCGAGTGCACGTGCCACCCGTCCTGCTCGTGCCTCACGGACCTCGACGACCCCTACGCGATCGCACTCTACTACCCGGACTACCAGCTGCCCAGCGCCTGCGGCGCTCCGACGGCTGCGCCCGTGCCCGCGCCGACGCCCGCGCCGACGATCGCGACGACGCCCGCGCCGACGCCGCGGCCCAGCCCGTACCCGACCTACAACTTCTTCTACCCGACGAGCTTGAACTACGACACCTACCAAGGCCAGGGCAAGTGCGCGCTCACGGGCCAGGAGACGACGGTCTCGGGCTACAGCACCGACGACTGCGGCTCGCTCTGCGAGGACAGCCTGGGGTCGAGCCTCGTGTCCGTGTCCGCGACCGTCGACGGGACGTCCGACTACGTCGAGTGCACGTGCCACCCGTCCTGCTCGTGCCTCACGGACCTCGACGACTACTACGCGATCGCGCTCTACTACCCGGACTACGTGCTGCCCGACGCCTGCGGCGCTCCGACGCCCGCGCCGACGCCCGGGCCGACGCCCGCGCCGACGCCCGCGCCGTCGCCGTTGCCCCTGTCGCCGACGGCCGCGCCCTTCTGCACGCAGTCGCCGACGGCGGCGGCGGAGCACGACACGCTCTACCTCGACATCGAGTCCGCCGACGCGGACCTGCTCGTCTACGTCACCGCCAAGTCGCAGGTCTACGACGCCTACGCGGACTGGAGCGTGTCCGTCACGGCGACGACCGCGTCCTGCGGCGGCCACGAAAGCGACCACGACCTCGTGGACCTCGGCGAGGACTCGGCCATCGCCATCACGGTCGCGACGACCGTGGCCATCGCGGCGTCGACGGCCGCGGGCGTCGCCGGCGCCGTCGGCGGCGGCGCGGGCGGCGGCGCGGCCGCGTCGGGCTCGTCGAGCTCGACGCTCGACAGCGCGGGCGACCTGCTCTCCGTCATCGCCCAGGTCCAGTTCGTCGTGCTGGCGAGCTCGCTGTCGATCCCCGTGAAGGAGGGCTTCCGCGACCTCGGCAAGTCGCTCCGCTGGATGAACTTCCAGGTCGACCTGGGCTGGGTCCCGGGCATGCCGCGCTTCGGCACGCGCTACGACGACCCCGACAGCGACGACGAGGACCGCCGGCGCCTCAAGGAGGAGGCGAAGAAGGGCATCCAGGCCTACCTCGCGACGACGGGCAACTCGGCCGAGGAGATCCTCGTGCAGACCATGGTCTGCGGGTTCCTCTTCATGGTCTTCCTCGTCTCCGCGCACCTCGCGCTCAACTCCTACCTCGTCGCGCGCCAGCGCCGCAAGGGCCACGACGACTACGAGCTGCCGGGCATGCTCCACTTCCCCGTGCCCGAGCTCGCGGCGTTCTGGATCTACTTCACGGGCGCCCTGCAGGCGGGGCTCAACGTGCTGCTGTCCGACGACGCGACCTACCCCTGGCGCATCGTCGCGTCCGTGCTCGTCGCGTCCGTGCTCGCGGTCATGGTCTTCATCTGCCTGCTCGTCATGAACCCCGTCGCGCGGAACCGCCTCGTGCCCTGGCGCGCGCGCCACAAGGTCCACAAGCGTCTCGCGAACCGCAACGCCGTCGCCAAGGGCGGCGGCGCGCCCCAGCGCGCCGAGTCCTACGACCCCCTCTTCATCCCCGACGGCAAGGCGGACCGCGACGACGGCGCGGTCGTCTTCGTCCTGGAGGACCGCGGCACGCTGACGTTCAAGGACCGCTGGAGCAAGGCGTACCGCGACCCGCAGCACCAGCTCGGCGGGTGGCAGGCCGTCGACGGCGGGTCCTACGCCGCGTGGCTCATCGAGACCTTCCCCATGGTCTTCGACCGCCTCACGAACGCCGTGTCGTTCTTCGTCTTCGACGTCGTCATCGACAAGATCTTCTTCATGCTCCTGCTCGTGCTGCTGAGCGGCACGGACGGCACGATCCAGCTCGCGGCGGCCCTCGCCTTCGCCGTCATCAAGGTCGCCATCCTCTTCGTCTACCTGCCCTTCAACTCCATGCTCAGCAACCTCCGCGAGCTCATGACGGCGACCGGCCGCGTCATCGTCTTCCTCGTGCCGCTCTACGCGTGCCTCCCGGGCCTCGCGGACACGCTGGGCCTGCCGGAGCTGGGCTGGGAGAAGGCGTCGAAGATCATGCTCCTCACGAACCTCGCCGCGACGATGGGGTCGCTCGCGCTCCAGCTCCTGAGCACGCTGTCCATCGCCGTCGCGGCCGCGTGGGCCCTGTGCGCCGCGCCCGCGGACCACGCGACGAACGCGGCGGAGAAGGGCGTCGAGCTCGCGGCCAAGGTGCCCGTCGCGGGCGTGCCCGCGGCCGTCGCGGGCAAGCTCGCCTTTGCGGCGGCCCAGGGCGTCGCCGAGTCGCTCACGGAGCCCTTCCTCACGTACCAGACGGCCTTCCGCGACAAGCGCGACGAGCTCCGGGCCCAGGGCGCCGCCGTCGTCGTCAAGCACTGCCACCGCCACGGCCTCGGCGAGGCCTTCCCGGAGGTGCACGACATCGCGCTCGACGTCGCCATGGGCATGATCGCCGACGCCATCACGGCCAAGGTCTGCGACCAGCTGCCCAAGCAGGACCCGGCCTTTGTGGTCCTGCCGCGCGCGGCCATCGAGGAGACCGTGGGCTTCCTCGCGGGCGAGGCCGTCGGCGCGTGCTTCGGCGCGGCGCTCGAGAAGCTCGAGGGCAACGGCGGCGACGTCGACGAGCTCGAGGCGCCCAAGGGCCCGGAGATGGAGGAGGACGGCGGCGAGGGGTCCTTCGAGGACGACGAGAAGCACATCGTCGTCCACGACCCCATCGTCCGCCTCTTCCGCAAGCCCCTCGGCAAGAAGAAGGCGCCGCGGCCCGTCTCCGTCGACAAGCCCCAGGTCGCCGAGGAGATCCCGGAGGTGCCGTCGGCGCCGCCGTCCAAGGCCATCGCCCTCGTCGACGACGAGGAGGCGCCGGGCGTCCAGCTCGGCGTCGCGCCGGGCGTCGACCTCCCGCGCCTCGACTCGGCCGTGACGCCCAAGGCCCCGATGTACAGCTCCCCGCCGATGATGGGCGCCGCGCACCACACCCAGCTCGCGCACAAGGAGGACGACGTCGTCGGCGAGGAGATCTAAAGATCCCCGCGCGCGCCGCGTCCCCAATACCCCTCTCCCCTTTCCGAATTCCCCGCCCCCTTGTTTGCTCCATTGAACCTAACATAGTTAAACACGAGGCGGCTTAGGCCGCGCGCGACGTGGCGCAGGCGGCGGCCGTCGTCGGCAGGAGGGGCTCGACGTCCTCGTCGTCGGCCTTGGTCCAGAGGTAGGCCATCGCCGAGTCCGCGGTCTCGCGGGGCTTGGACGCGGCCGCGGTCGCCTGGGCGAGGCATTGGGCGGCCCAGTGTGCCGTCTCCGCCATCCAGGCGTGGAGCGCCGACCGGTCGCGCTTGATCTCGGAGAAGTAGTTGGCCCACCAGTTCTTGAAGTCTGTCGGTGTCGTGTCGCGGAAGTGTAAAACGTCCTCGACGGCGCGGTCCCAGCCGTGAAAGGGCGCGGCCAACGCCCAGCGCACGAAGCGCGGCACGGCTAGAATCACCGCCGTCTCCAGGGGGCCGAAGGTGTAGATGTAGACGTAGGGCCAGCCGAGCAGCACCGTGATCTGCAAGACTTGGATAAGAAAGTTCGAGTGCGCGACGGGCCCGCGGCCCATGAGCGACACGAGCCAGCAGACCCAGTAGAACATGACCGTCGGCTGCAGGAGCATGAAGAAGTACTTGCCCAGCGCCGCGTTGCCGCAGCGGACCGCGCGCCACGACACGGCCTGGCACGCGGCGACGACGAAGAACGCGGTCAGCGCGTTGAAGCCGTAGTCGTAGAGCTGGTAGAAGGGCCGCGCCCACATGGGCTTCCAGTTCGCCAGGACCTTCGGGTGGCCCGGGTGGCCCACCTGCCAGTTCCAGTCCGTGCCGTCCGCGATCTCGCCGGGCTTGAGGCCGCGCCAGCGCAGCGTGAAGACGTGGTCGTCCTGGACCCAGGACATGAGGCTCACGAGGAGCCAGGTCTGCAGAGCGAAGGCGGCGATCACGTTCCAGTAGACGTTCTTGCAGTACTTCTTCGCGAAGGCCATGATCGGCGCGCCGTAGAAGTAGCCCAAAGTCCAGGGGAAGAAGAAGATCCAGCACTTGGGCGACGACCAGCCGAAGCCCTCCGTGGGGTAGACGACGTCCTGGTAGGCGACCACCAGACGCGTCCCCGACTCGGGCATGTAGGTCACCGTGTCGTCGTCGAGCGTGCCGCGGACGACGACGGCGACCTGGGGCCACAGCGCGTCCGTGATGAGGGCGTTGAGCCACTCGGGCAAAATCCAAGAACCGTCGTACTCGCAGATGGGGCACTGGAGGAAGAAGAGGAAGTAGACGCCCCACGATACAGCGACGATGGCCGGGTTCGGCACGCGGCATTTCTGGAGCGCGTACGACATGCAGCGGTAGTAGAGCAACGAATAAAGGTACCAGATCACGTTCTCCGGCGTCGAGTAGGCGAGGCAGTCGGGAATGTACGCGTTCTTGGACGAATAGGTATTGGCCATGAAGACCATGAGCTTGTAGAAGACGATGAGGATGACCATCGTCCCGTCGCGCGCGTTCGTGAACGGCGCGCGCACCTCCCTCTTGGAACCGTCGCGGACGCCGTCGGCCCAGCCCACGCTAAACACGAGCGCGACCATGGACGCCGTCGCGCCGTCGGCCTCGGCCATGTCGGCGATGAAGCACGCGACGTTGACGACGAACTGCACGGGCCACGCCAACGCGCCGTAGCCGCCGCCGACGGACGCGTAGTAGAAGAGGTAGAGGTTGGGCCCGCCGGGGAAGTAGCCGGGCTTGTACCAGTGGGTCATGATGACGCAGGCCATCATCCAGGCCTTGACGTTGTCGCCGACGCGCTCCGCGTTGCGCTGGCCCCGGTTCATGGCGGCGACGACGCCGAGCGAGTCGACGCCGATCTCCGCCAGACCGCGCGCGGCCGTGTACTCGTCGACGTCGTCGAAGCCCTCGGCGAGCGCCTGGGCCTCGATGGCGTCCCAGTCCACGGCCGACTCCGCGGCGCTCTCCGCGAGCGCCGTGAGCCGCGCCTCGAGCTGCGCCTCGGCCTTGGATCGCTGCACGTTGCCCTTCGCGGAGCACGGCAGCGACTCGTCGCCCGACGCCGCCGATAGTACGAGGGTGTAGCCGTGCTCGATCTTGGCGTAGGCGACCTGGTCCGCGTTGACCGCGTCGACGCCCGGCTGGAGCGCGAGCTTCGCTTCCTCGCAGTTCCGCGTGTCGTCCTCCTTGAGCTGGACGACCAGAAACGGCCGCGGCCGGTTCGCCCCTAGGACGACGACGTTGGAGATGGCGATGTGCTGCTTCTTGCAGAATTCGACCATGGCGGCCTCGATGGGCACGGGGTTGAACATCTCGCCCGTGGAGAGCAAGATGGTGTCGTCGACGCGCATGACGTGTTGGATCGCCGAGCCGCCGCCCTTGAGCGGCGCGCGCCGGAAGACGTCGCCCGTCCGGTGGCGGCCGTGGGCGTCGCGCTTCGAGGACGACGGGTCTAGGACGCCGTCCTTGAGGTAGCCGGGCGACGACCCCTTGCAGTTCACGAGGCAGAGCTCGCCCTCGTCGCCGCCGCCGGACAGCTCCAGGACGACGCCCGCGTCCGCGGGCCAGGCGGAGGCGAAGAAGGCGAGCTCGTCGGGCGCGGCGCCGGGCGCCGTGAGGAGCTGCATGCCCGGCGCCTCCGTCTGGCCGAAGTGCGTCTTCACGGTCACGCCGCCCGCGACGAGTTTCCGCGCGACCGCGGGCGGCAGCGGCGCGCCGCCGGAGCGGACGACGGCGCACTTCGCTAAAACGCTCAGGTCGTCCAAATCGGACCAGTCGGCCATGATAAAGGGCACCGTGTCGATCGTCGACGGCGCCAGATCGCGCGCGGCCGCGAGCATGAGCGCGGAGGTGACGGTATCCGTGTCGTCCGCGCCGTGGATGGAGCAGCCGACGCCCCGGTAGAGGCAGCACAGGAAGCTCTGGAAGGACATGAGCACGTGGAAGTTGGGCATGAAGCAGAGCGTCGACGTCGCGCCGGCCGGGAAGGGCAGGTGCGTCGCCGTCCAGACGAGCGTCTCGTTGAGGTGGAGCACGGGCTTCGGGCGGCTCGTGGACCCGGACGTGAAGTAGACGGCGCTCTCGCCGCTCGCGAGGAGCGTCGGCAGGGACGACGCGGCCGCCGGCGCGCAGCTGGCGTAGTCGAAGGCCTTGCTCGCGCGGCCCTTTGGTCGCGGCCCGAGCGCGATCGTCGTCCGCGCGCTCTCGGCGAGGGAGTCGCCCAGGGACCCGTAGGGGTCACCGACGACGAGCACGGACGACCCGGAGTCCGCGAGCATGCCCTGGAGCGCGTGGAGCGGCTGGCGCCAGTTGAGCAGCACCGGCGTCGCACCGACGGCCTGCGCGGCGACGACGCCCACGTAGAAGTCGAGCGTGCCCTTGCAGAGGAAGGCGACGCGGTCGCCGGCCCTGACGCCGCTGTCGAGGAAGCACGTCGCGCCGCGGCGCACGAGCTCGGAGAAGGCGGCGTAGCTCAGCTCCTGCTCGACGCCCCGGGTCTGGGACCAGACCCGGGCGAAGATGCGGGCGCCGTCCGCGGACGCCCCGCGCGAGAAGAGCGCCTCGGGGAAGGAGGCGGGCGCGGCCATCGTCGCGCGTGGGCTGCTGTCTCCGCGACGCGGGCTGCCAACTTCACAGGGCTTTGCTGGCTTCCATGGCCACGGCGCCGGGGACGTACACCAAAAGCAACGGGCAGCTTGGCCTACATAGGAGGTTCAACATCGTTGAGATCAATCGAGCGCGCGCTGGGGCAGCCCTTCGGCGCCGCGCGCCATGGCGGACGTCGTCGCCGTGGGCGTCGCGCCGGCGGCGGCGCCGGACGCGTCGGCGCCGGCGAGCGCGGCCGCGCCGAAGAAGAAGGGCTTCACGCTGCGGCTGCGCGGGCGGTCCGCGTCGCCGGACCGGAGCGGTGCGGTCGCCGCGGCGGACGACGCGTCGCCGACGCGGGGCCGCACCTTCTTCAAATCCTTCGCCGGGCGCAGGACCAAGTCCGGGTCGCCGGCGAAGCGGTCCTCGCCGAAGAAGGCCGGCTTCCTGTCGCGGACGTTCCGCTTCGGGGGTGGGAAAGGAGGCGTCGGGGCGACGATGCGCGACCTCGGCGCGTCCGTCCGCGGCGGCCTCCAGGCGGCCGTCGAGGTCCTGAAGGAGTCGGACCAGGTCGTCGTCGTCCAGGCCTGGGACGGCACGGAGCACGGCGTCGACGTGCTCAAGCCCTGCAAGGTGCACGTACTTCGCGCGAAGGTCGTCCACATGGTCAAGCGCGCCGACGGCGTCGACGACGCCGCCGCGGACCCGAAAGCGCCGCCCCAGCGCTACGTGCTCCTCTTCCGCGGCGCGACGCTCGAGGACGGCGACGCCGTGCCCGACGCGGCCTTCAAGCCCGTGGGCCTCGACGACGTCGTCGGCCTCCCCAGCGAGATCTGGATCTCCAAGTCCGACTACGTGCCCACGCGGGACACGCCCGACGACGCGGGCCCGGCGGGCCCGCGCAACGAGAACGCCTGGGACGGTCTGGGCGCGGCGCCGAGCAGCGCGCCCCTCGACTACGACGACCCGTCGCTCGCGGACGAGGCCGACTCCGCGTCCGACTCGTCCGGCGAGGACGACTTCGAGTTCGTCGGCCAGGCCAAGGCGCGGCGGCGCGTGTCGAACCTCGCGGGCCAGCAAGCCGTGCGGCGCAAGTCGTCCGTGGCGGCGCGCGAGCACCCGCAGAGCGAGAAGTTCCACCTGCGCCGCGAGCTCGCGCTGCTCCACTGCGGCGACGTCGCGGACCGTTTGGAAGCCGCGGGCTACGACGACCGCGGCGCCTTCGGGAACCTCACGGAGGAGATTCTGCGGGCGACGCCCCTCTTCGTGAACCGGCGCACGTCCCGCAAGATCGTCGCGCTGGCGGAGATCTACAAGCAGCAGGACGCGCGCGACGCGGCCGCGCCGACGACGGTCCTCGGCAACATGGACAAGGCCGAGGCCGAGGACACGGCGGCCTTCACGGCCGGCGACGACGTCTTCTTCGGCAAGCGGTCCGACGTGCGCAAGTTCTTCGGCAGCCGCAAGGCCGGCGGCTCCGTCGCGGGCGACGCGTCCACGCTCGGCAGCCGCGGCGCGCCGACGCGCGGCGGCGACTTCGACGACGAGTCGAGCGTCGCGACGATCGTCAGCGAGGCGCGGTCCGAGGCCACGGCGACGTCGCGGAGCTCCCACGGGTCGTCGCTGTCGTCCCTGACGACGCGGAAGCGCAAGGAGAAGCGGACGGTGAACCCGCTCTTCGCGCACGTCGGCAGGATCGGCAAGGGCGTCCCCGACCTCCCCGGCGAGGACCCGAGCCTCCAGGAGCGGCTCGACGCGCTGCTGCAGCCCGTCGGCGCGGGCCTGCGGGGCCAGCAGACGGAGACGATCCGCGCCGTCGAGCTCGTGCTGGGCGACGTCTTCGCCAAGGACAAGTTCCGCGACGAATATCTGGAGGCGATGATCGAGGCGAACTCGGGCAACTCCGTGCCGTCGGCCGTGACGGCCGTGAAGCGGCGCGCGACGGCGCTCGACGGCGTCGGCGTGTCGATCCGGCTGAAGCGGCCCGAGGACCGCGCGATGGCCGTGCACAAGCTCGCGACGAAGCTCTACGAGAACGTCATCGCGAAGCGGCGGCCCGCGCGCGGGTCGCAGGCGACGCCCGCGGAGGAGGAGCGGCACCAGGCGGCGCTCGAGGAGGCGCGCGACGGCTCCGGCACGGTCGTGACCGCGTCCCAGCTCTCCCGCGTCCGCGAGCGCGTGCTCGCGGAGCGGCCGCCGAAGCCGCCGCGGAGCCGGCGCGTCGCGCTCTTGGTCGAGGACATCATGGGCCGCGCGTCGAGCCATTTAGATCATTGCGACCTCCCCGACGAGGACATGGCGTTGCAGGAGGACAAGGAGGGCCGGTCGAAGCAGCGGCGCTACTGCTGCGAGAAGCACTGCTGGCGCGTCGTCAACCGCCTCGCGGACGTCGCCGACGCGCACCGGTCCATCTGCGAGCACGAGGTCCACCTCGCGCTGGCCCACTACCGGGACCCGTCCAAGGCCTTCAGCCCGACGTACCCGGAGCTCCAGGACTTCCTGTTCCGGCTCCTGGGCCGCGACGCGGTCGTCGAGCGCAACGGCCAGGCCGTCCGCGACCGGTCGGAGCTCGAGCGCGCGCACCGGGCGCTGAGCAAGTCCGTCGTCGACGACGCGGCGACGAAGATCCACTCCAAGGACGACATCTCCATGGACGACCGCGCGCGCGAGCTCATGTCCGAGGGGGAGTCGCAGGCCGCGCTCGGCGGCCACCTCCGGTCCGACGCGTCGTCGCCGCACTCGGAGCGCGCACGCGCGCCGGGCGACGGGTCCCTGCCCGCGACGCGCCTCGCGCGCGAGGCCGCGGACCTGCGGCGCATCGCCGAGGAGCGGCACGCCGTCTTCCTCGACCTCGACGCCAAGGCGCTCAAGCGCGAGGTCGAGCTCGTCCTCGCGGCCGCGGAGGCGCCCGTCGCCGAGGGCGACGTCTTCTACGCGGCCGAGTACGAGCCGCACCGCCTCGCGGGCAACTGCGGCTACGCCGCGGCGAAGCGCGTCCTCGCCCAGGCGAACAACGACGAGCAGGAGACCGTCTTCGAGGTGCTGCGGCGCCGCGACGCCGTCCTGCCGGAGCTCGCGCCGCTCGACGACGGCCTCACGCCCGTGTCGTCCGCGGACCTTGTCGCCTTCAGGGACGCCCACATGGACGCGGTGCGGCGCTACGTCGCCTTCCGCGACGAGTGGCGCAAGGCCGAGCTGCCGGAGGAGGAGTCGACGAAGCGGTCGAGCGGCGAGAAGAACCGGCCCGTGTCGTCGATCATGGACATCGACCCCGACGAGCTCAAGAAGCTCGTCGGGTCCATGGAGACGACGGGCGACGACGACGACGACGACGACGACGGCTCCTTCGCGACGGACCGGGGGACGCCCAGCGCGCTCTCGCCCAAGTCCGTGTCCATCGCGTCGACGCCCGCGGGCTCGAACCAGCCGTCGCCGAACCGGCCCCGGGAGCGCAAGGCCTTCGACCCGTGACGCCGCCTAACGCATTTCCTTCGACGACCCGTGACGCCGCCTAAACACGTGCCCTTAGACGACCGTCGCGCGGTGGAGGCTCTTGCGGTGCTTGCGCTCGGCCTTGGCCCACTGCCGGTCGATGTCGTCGAGGAAGTCGGCGACGTCGTCGGACACCTTGACGACGGTGCCCTGGCTCGCGTCCTCGGCCTCCTTGTCCTTGGGCCAGACGACCTTGATCTGCTTGCAGCGCTCCGTGATCTCCCGGAACTTGTCCTGGAGGTCCACCTCGGACTGGGCCCGCTGCGCGTTCGCGCGGAACTTCTCGCGGACGTGGTTCGCCTGCTCGCGGCGCACGATCTTGTAGAAGCAGTTCAGGAACTCGCCGGCGTCGATCAGGCCGTCGCCGCTCTGGTCCAGGATGCCCACGAGCGCCGCGAGCTCCGGCGGCGTGAGCTTGACGCGGAAGCAGGACCGCAGGTAGTGGCGCAGCGCCGTCGCGTCGAGATACGCGCCCTCCTTGAAGGGCCGCAATTCGGGCGCCGTCGCGCCCGTGAGCGTGCCCCGCGCGACCTTGGCGATCTTCTCCAGCGCCGACGCCTCGTCCTCCTCCGAGTAGTCGTCGGGCACGGACGCCAGCGTCCGCGTGTAGTAGCGCGCGTCCGTGACGGCGCGGTTCGCGCGGTCCCGATCGAGCCGCGCCTCGTGGTCGCGCCGCTCCTTCTCGAGCCGCGCGCGCCGCATCTCCGAGCTCAGCCGGAAGAAGCGGCTCGCGAACTCGGCGCCGTCCACGGCGCCGGACCCGTCGCTGTCGAAGAAGTCCATCATCGCCGCGAGCTCCTCGGGGTCCAACACGACGTTGAAGACCGCGCGGAGCTCGTGCCAGAACTCCGACGTCGACAGCGGGCCGCCCTCCGTGAAGGGCGTCAGGGGCGGCCCGCGCGGCGGCGGCTCCCAGTTGGCGGCGACGGCCTCGATCTTCCGCAGCGCGCGGTCGCGGTCCCGCGTCGAGTAGCGGTCCGCGACCCTGACGAGCGCCATCAGCCGGTGCTTCTCCGCAAAGTAGGCCTCGCGCCGGTGGACCTTGCCGAGGCAGCGCGCGTTCGCCGCGCGCTCGCTCTTGATCTGCTGGCGCCGCTCGACGCGGCCCATGTCGTAGAGAGCCTTCGCGAATTCCGCGGCGCCGACGGTGCCGTCGCCGTTGACGTCGAACGCGCGGAATAAAGCGCCGAGCTCCACGGGCGTGAGCTTCACGCCCAGGTTCCGCAGCGAGTTGCGGAACGTCGCCGGGTCCAGGTCGTCGCCGTTGGACATGAGCATGAGCGACCCCCGCTGCGCGAGGCCGCAGGCCCGCGCGACCTTGCGCCGCGTCAAAGCCCAGCGCGGCGACTGCATGATCTCCGGCCGACCGCTGATCGCCGGCAGCACGAGCGTCCGCGCCGACGACGACGTGCACACGGAGCTGTCGCCCATGGTGGTCGCTGCGGCGCGGCCCCCGACCACGCGAGGGCAGCCCACTGTTGCGCTATCGTCGTGCGCTAGGAGAGGCCTGTGGATACGAAAAGTGCAACAACTCGAGCATCGGCAGCCATTTTGAATAATATTATGGCAAAGCGGGCAGCGCGCGAGACGACGCGCTCGAAAGCGCTGCGGGTCGTCTGCGAGCACCTCGACCTCGGCCGGCGGCTCGGGGAGCACAAGGAAAGGTTGAAGCGCCTGCAGCGCCTCGACGTCGCTCTCAACGAGCGCAACAGAGAAGCACTCGGAGAAATTCTCAGCAATACCGATGTGAACTTGCCGTTTTGGAAGCTGGACGAAATCCACCGCTCAAACGCCGAAACTCTGATTCCGGTGCTCTGCGACCTGGGTTATTCCGTCTTGGAGTGCAGCTCAAAAGAGGGAACGGAGCCGGTTTTCTCCGTCGTAGCCAATTTGAACAGCGTTTTTTTGGGGCCGTGTCCATCGAAATCCGGATGGCGAGCTCCAGACGGCTTAATATTTACGGAATTTGTTTGTCGAATAGATAAGTATCGAATACATCCGCCCTCGAGCTCAGTCGCCACGGCGGCTTCGCAACTTCCCGAGCCGCTGACGGACTTCGAATGCCTGTGCTGCCTGCGAAACATCCCGCGTTGCGCCGATAGCACGTGGCTGGCGCGCTACGAGGCATTTCATGAGATGCTCAGCAGCGAAGACCGCAGGACCTATTTTTTTCACGTGCTCTCACGGTGCACACCCGACGACGACGGCGAGGACGTGAACGCGTTTGACATCGACGAATTGGATCATGAAGAAATTTCATACGCTGATAAGATCGCCGTGATTCCTACACTGCGCTGGCTCGGTTACCGGATCGAACAGTGGCACCCTACAGTCACCGACTACACTGGCGTCGTCATGACTGTCCTGACCGGGGCGCTTGCCCTCGAAGATCCCACGGACGACAAATCGACAGTAGACTCGGAGGGCTGGTACAAAGAGGCTGGTTTTCGCTGGAAAGTGCATCCGCCCATCGTCAGACCAGTTGCGCTCCCCGTATCGTGGGGATCCCGGATTTGGGAGCCGATCAATGCAAATTGGGAATGGAAGAACGGTAGGCTAGCTTAGACTTAAATGGCAGCTAGGTTTGGCATTGCCATGGGCGCCGTGTCTTCGCCGTCGCTTCAGCGACCGTGGCGTAGAATGACAACTAAAGCCGACGCCCTGCTCAGATCTCGGTCGGACGAAGGTTGGGTTATACGGCCCCGGTCCCTCCTAGGACAGGGTGCAGTTCGGGTGGCCCGCGTCGCCGACGACGCCCGCGGGCGCCTCGCCGTTGATGCAGGCCGCGAGGACGCGCGCGCGGAACGCGTGCTGGGCCGCGTTCGCGGCGTCGCGCGTCGTGTCGTCGTAGGACCGCAGCGGCGCGCGCCGCGCGCCGCCCTGGCGCTTGTTGCGCATCTCGACGAAGACGGCCTGCTCCGCGGACGCGAGCATGCGCGCCGCGAAGGTTCGGAGCGCGGCGACGCGCGGCGCGGGCGCGCCGAATTCCGGCCGGGAGCCGCCGCTGTGGTCCTGGGGCAGGCAGTCGATCTCGGAGACGAAGCCCCGGAGCACGTCGCGGAGCTGCGTCGAGGCGAGGTTGCTGTAGGCCGACGTCGACGTCCACTGGCCGGGCCCCGGCGCGGGCGCGGCGGCCGCGCCGGCGGCGCCGCGGGCCCGCTTAGAACCGTTGTCGTCGGAGGCGTCGTCGAAGACGCCGTCGGGCGGGTCGGGGAAGGACGACGCGTAGCAGGCGTGGAGCTGGCCCAGGCGCCGCGCGCACTCGACGAGCTGGCTCTCGGACGCCGCGCGGCTCGAGTTCCGGTCCGCGGGCGCGTCGCGCGAGCCCATGCGGCCCGAGCCCGCGAGGCGGTAAAAGTCCGTGCGCGCGTCGCGCTCGAGGTCGTAGACCTCGCCCGTGACGCCCGCGCCGCCGAGCGCCGCCGCGACGTCCGCGAGGTCGCCGTCGCTGAGGTCCAGCGACGACGCGGCGAGCGCCGCGTCCTTGACGTGGTCTGCGTTCCGCGCTCCCAGGACGACCGCGGACACGCCCGTCTGCTTGAGCGTCCAGGCCACGGCGACCATGGCCACCGTGACCTTGGTCAGCGGGCCCGGCGCCGCCGCGTGGCGGTCCGCGACGGCCCTCAGGCACCGGAGCACGCGCTGGAACCGGTCCCAGCCGCCGAACTCGTCGACGAGGACGCGGTTCGACGCGACGCCCGGCCCCAGCGACGCGTAGTCCGGCGGGTCCCGGCCGAGCCAGTCGTCGCTGAGCAGGCCGCCGGCGAGGGAGCCGTGGGCCAGCAGCCGCACGCCGTGCGCCGCGCACAGCGCGCACAGCCCCGACGACGACGGCCGGTGGTCGATGACCGACAGATTCACCTGGACGCAGGCGATCTCCGGCCCGTCCTCCTCTTCCAAGAGCGGTCGGAGCCGAGACACGTCGACGTTCGTCAGCCCCACGTCCTTGACGACGCCGCGCGCCTTCATCGCCTCTAAAGCTCGAACGGCGCCGACGAAGCCCTCCTTGGACCAGTCCCACCAGTGCAAATACACGAGGTCCAGCCGCCCCACGCCCAGCCGGTTCGCCGACCGCCAGACGGACGCCTCGACGCAGCGCTCGAGCGCCAGCTCGCGCCGCCGCGCGTCGTCCGCCGACTCCGCTTCGCCGCCGCACCGCTGCCGCGCGACGAGCGCCTCGTCGTCGGGCACGACTTTCGTGTGGAGCCGCACGGAGTCGGCCAGCGCCCGGCTCTGGCCCCGGGCCGTCGCGAGGAAGCGGCCCACGAGCTCCTCGACGCCCGCGTAGATGTCGCCGCAGTCGAACGTGCGGATCCCGACGACGGTGTGCGCCGCGCACGCGCGCCGCGCGACGTCGTCGGCCCGCGCGCCGTCCTTGCTGTTGAGCTGCCAGGTGCAGGACCCGGCGACGATGCGCGTGATCTCCTCGCTCCCGACGCGGAACGTGGGCACGGCCGCGCCGCCGGCGCCGCGGGGCGCGGCCGCGGGCGCCGCGGCGCGCGCGAGCGCCGCGAGCGCCGCGGCGTCGCCGGGCGCCGGCGCCATGGACGGCGCCGCCGGGGCGTCGCCGGGCGGCGGCGCGCCCACCGTGCCCTTGAGCCGCTTGAGCAGCTCGTCGCCCGACGCCGCGTCGAGCTGCCGCTTCATCATGCTCGGCGACGTGATCGGGCCCTCGTCCGGCGGCGCCTCGAAGGTGAGCCTAGGATTTGCGCGTCATGGTTTGTCAAAAGGGAACATGCGACGCCGCGGGAGCGCACCGCACGGGCCCCGGCGGCGCGGCCTGGAGCGCGCGGACGAGCGCCGCCTTGTCGACGACGGCGGCGCCGTTGACGCCGACGACGCGCCAGTGGATGACGCCGTAGCGCGCCTTCTTGATCGCCGGCGACTCCGGGTCGTTGACGCGGTGCACCTAGGGCGGCGCGGGTGTTAATTGTTGTTTCTCTCTCGCAAAGATCGCCGGCGCCGGCGCCGCGCTCGCAAGTCCTCGTCGACGGAGATGCCGAGCGACGTGTTGCCGGCGAATTCAATGTCCTGGCGCATGGGCCCGCCGTCCGACGCGTCCTCGGCCATGATGCCGGACGCGGCGCGACGGGTCGCCTCGTATCGTGCCGCTGCCGATCGAGTTCACAAGGTGCGCATCCACTCCTCGAGCATGCGATGTCCACGTCGTCGCGTGTGGGCGCGAGTGCTTGAAGTGGCTTGAAGTGTCGAATTGAAGACAGCAAGCGGTCCACGACCGGACACTTCGCGAGACGGCCGGGACAGCGTCCGCACGCCGCGACTTCGCGCCGTTGATAGTTTCGACGGCGTCTCCGCTAGGTACTGCGGCAATCCCCGACGGACGCGCTTCGTCGCGCGCGTGTTGGCACAAGGCGACTTGTCGCGCGCGGGGCGGCCGCACGCGTCGCCTTCGGAGACTGGTTCGGCGGGTTCGGGCGCGGCACATCCTGTCACCAGCGCGTCGGTCGGCGCGAGCACCAAACCTCGCGACCCCGGCCAACACACTTGAGGCCGATCTGGACCATCAGCGCCCGCGCGCCGCCGGACGCAGTCGTCGGCGCACCGCCGCCGCATCGGAGCGCCGCAGCACCGTCGCAGCACCGTCGCAGCGTTCAAAACAACGATGCCGCAAAGGCTCCTCGTCGCCGCGCTCCTCGCCGCCGCCGCGGCGTTCCGGCCGCCGCAGAGCACGGCGCGACGACCGACGCTCCTCCGCGACACGCTGGGCGTCGAGGGCCACCTCAACGGCGGGTTCGGCAGCTTCAGCGCCCTCGTCTTCCAGAACGAGGAGCTCTGGAAGTCGCTCGACGACGCCGTCGGGTACACGGTGCTCGCGCCGAACGACGGCGCGTTCGCGGCGCTGGAGGACAAGGTGGTCCAGCAGCTCAAGGACCCGCGCAACGGCGAGGTGGTCATGCAGCTCGGCGCCTACCACGTCATCCGCGAGCCCGTGACCGCGGACGCGCTCTTCGAGTCGGGCGGCGTCGTGACGGCCGGCGGCGAGGTCTCCGTCGGGCGGAGCACGACGGGCGGCCTCTTCGGCTTCGGCGGCCAGGAGGACGGCGGCGTGCTCATCGGCGGCGCCAAGCTGCTCAACACCGTCGAGATCGGCAACTGCCTCGTCCACGAGATGGACGGCCTCTGCAACCCCAAGGCGCTCTTCCGCTTCCTCGACGTCCTCCGCATCCCCGGCTCGAGCTAGGCACGCGTAAGCGCGATTGGGCGGACTCCGACGGCCCCGCGGCGCGTCGACTGGCGTTGTGCGGGTCCTCGAGCGACGGTTCGGCGGCTGCGACCCGTGGTGTGTTGAAGTGCATGACGAAGTTGGAGAGCGCGATCGATGGGCTCCTCGTCTACGACCAGCACCAGCAGCTCCCCGGCAAAGATGAGACCGGCGACACCATGAGCGCCTTCGCATCCTACCGTGTCTGCTCCGCCTGCGACGGCGAGGGCGACGTCGCGGCCGTGATCTCGCAGCGGCAGGCGAAGCGCCTCGCCCACAAGAGGCAGACGACGCCGCCGCGCGCCGTGTGCGCCGCCTGCGACGGGCGCGGCGTCGTGCCGGGGCCGCTGCCGCCGCTCGCCGACGCCTCTCCGAAGGTCGCCGTCGTCGGCGGCGGCCTCGCGGGCGCGGCCGTCGCGCTCGCGCTCCGGCAGCGCGGCGTCGCCGTGGTCGTCTTCGAGGCCGACGCGTCGCGCGACGCGCGGCCCCAGGGCTACGCCTTCACGCTGCAGCAGGGCTCGTCGGCGCTGCGGAGCCTCGGCGTCGCCGTGCGCGGCGCGTCGCCGACGCGCCACGCGTCCTTCGACTGCCGGGGGCGGCCGCTCGGGACCTACGCGCCGGCGCGCGCGGGCGGCGGCCGCTCGAGCCGGCGCGCGGCGAACGTCGTCTGCCCGCGGCGGCGCGTGCGCGACGCCGTCGCCGACGCGCTGCCCGACGGCGTCGTGCGCTACGGCCACCGGTTCCTAGGGTTCGGGGAGGGGGGCACGCTCCGCTTCGAGGCGGGCGACCGCGGCCCCTTCGACGTCGTCGTCGGCGCCGACGGCGTCCACAGCGCCGTGCGGGCCCTGGCCGCGCCGGAGGCTAAAACGTCCTACCTCGGCTACGTCGTCGCGCTCGGCCTGGCGCCCGCGGCGGCCGCGCCGCCGGAGTTGCGCGGCGCCACGTGGCAGGTCGTCGACGGCGAACGGGCCCGCGTCTACTCCATGCCCTTCGACGGCGACGAGTCGGCGTCGACGGACGGGTCGTGCGAGCGTGCTCCCGGCGCGACGGCGCGCGTCATGTGGCAGTGCTCCTGGCGCGAGCCCGACGAGGCCAAAGCGCGCGCGTCGGCGAAGGCTCCCGGCGCGGCCGTCGTCGCCGCCGCCCGGAGCTCGACGCCGTCCTGGCCGCCGCTCGTGTGCGACCTCTTCGCGGCGACGGACCCGGCGGACGTCGTGGCCTACGCCATCCGCGACGCCGACGCCGCCACCTACGCGGGCCCGCCGGGCGTCGTGTTCGTAGGAGACGCGGCGCACGCGATGAGCCCCTTCAAGGGCCAGGGCGCGAACCAGGCGCTCCTCGACGCCCTCGCCCTCGCGCGGGCGCTCTACCGCGTGCCCGAGCTCCGCGGCGAACGCGCGCCGCCGCGGGACCGCGCCTCCGTCGCCGCGGCGATCGCACACGCGATCGCGGCGTTCGCGGACGACCGCGCCGCCGCCGTCGCGCCCAAGCTCGCGCTCTCGCGCGCGAACGCGCACCTCACGCACTCCCCGGCGGCGCTCGCCGTCGCCGACGAGCCCCGGGCCGACGCCGCGCGGGCCGCGGCGGCCGCGGGCGCGGGCGCGATCACGTAAAGCGCGTTTCTGGTGAAGGAACGTTTGCCTGCAACTTTTGCTCGCACAAAAAGCCAAGCGGCTTCCTCCGCAGATCTCGCGCGCGCCGCCGCTTGCCACCGAGCGATCTCGCATCGCTGCGATCGACGCGCAGAAATAACTCCGAATCATGCCGGCGAAGCACGTGAACACGAAGGTCGAGGCGGCGAACGCGAAGAAGGCGAAGGCCCAGGCGGAGAAGGACGCCGTCAAGGCCGCGGCGAACGAGCGCGCCGAGGCGGCGAACTGGGCCGTCGGCTCCAACTCGCGCGGCGCGGCCAAGGCCATGAAGGACGCGGAGAAGGACGCGGCGAAGGCCGACAAGGACGCGGCGCGGCGCGCGGCGCTCGCCGAGGAGGAGGCCGAGACCGCGGGCGTCAAGAAGCCCAAGAAGGTGAAGAAGAAGGGCGCCGACGTGTCGGACCTGCTCCTGGCGGGCCTCAAGGGCGGTGAGAAGAAGAAGAAGGCGCCACCGGCCGCGGGCGCGCAAAAGGACGAGGCCTTCGCGCTCCGCGCCGCGCAAAAGGCCGCCGCGGACAAGGTCGCGGCGTCCAAGGGCATCGTCATGGACGGCGACAAGGATTTGATGCGGTCCAACGACAACCGCAAGTCCGCGGACGACGGCGCGGGCGCGTCGGGCATGGACAACGCGCTCAGCATGCTCGGCGTCGCCGACAAGGTCGCCGAGTCGAAGAACGTCAAGGTCCTCTACAACGCCTTCGTCGAGAAGACCATGCCCGTGCTCAAGGAGGAGAACCCGGGCCTCAAGCTCTCCCAGCTCAAGGACCGCGTCTTCACGCTCTGGCAGAAGAGCCCCGAGAACCCGAAGAACCAGGCCCCCTGACCTAGGTTGCCAGGTAACGGTCCTGGGGGCGAGGTTGCGGGGCGACGAGCGGAGGGGGCGCGGGTGGCGCGGGCGTCGTCGCGCGGGCGGGCCCGTGCCGCGCCGCCGATCGCGGCTCGTGTTTTTTTTTAGAGAGGTTCATGATAATGTTCAATAATCCGAATTCGGGAGAACCCGCGGCGCGATGCGGGGCTTCTCGGCGGGAGGGGCTGCGAGGCGATAAAAGTCGGCGATGTGGCGCACCTCCTAGGCGCAACCGCCCGACCCATGTCCGACGACGACACGAACAAGTCCGCGCGGGCCGTGGCGTGGGCCCTGAGCCAGCCCAAGGAGCGGCGCCAGGCCAAGGCCAAGTCCCGCGTGGGCCCCATCCGGGAGCGGGAGGTGACGCTGAGCGTGTCGCCCTCGCCGCACCGGTGGCATCGCGCCGACCCGCAGCGGGCGCCCGCCGAGGCGCTCGTGTCGCCCATCCGCCAGAGCGACGCGACGGCCGCGCGTCTGGCGAACGCGTCGACGGCGCGCGCGCGCTACCTCCGCGCGCGGCATCGGAGCGCGCGCGAGGAACATCGCGACGAGGCGCAGACGCCGCGGTCCCTGGCCCAGAGCCGCGACGGCCGCGTGACGCGGGACTGCTACTTCGACGTCGAGGTCGAGCAGCGCGACTCCGCGGACGTCGACGACGACGTCGAGCTGGGGAAGCTCGCCGTGGAGCCGTCGGCGCGCGACAGGCTCGCCGACTCCTTCGCGGCCTACCTCGCGTCCGGGGACCGCGGCGGGCTCACGGACGCCATCTACGAGACGTCCGTCGACGGCGGGAGCAGCCTCGCCGCGGGCGTCGGCGGCTGGCAGGAGGCGCCGCTGGACCAGGACCTGTACCGGCGCGCCGCCGACGCCGTGGAGCGCGACCGGGGCCAGTCCTTCTTCGCCTGGTTCGGCGGGCCGCCGAAGGTGTCGGACCCGGACGACCCGGGCCCCGACCCCGACGAGCGCGGCGGCTGCGAGCCGCCCGGCTGCGTCGCGCCCTTCTACTAACGCTCCGTGTTAGAAGCCCTTCCACCCGTTGGCCTTGGCCACGGCGAAGCGGTTCGTCCAGT